GATATATACACGACTCAGACACTCTACCATAGGCACTGGCCCATCAAGAAAAACAGACTTTAAAACCCAAAGCAACATTGGACATTGAGCAGTGTTGTGAATGATTGAAGTTTCTGTTCAATTGGAAGACAGAACTATGTTAAATCAAATGCCCCTAATAACATAACCTCAAAATAATAAAGGAAAAACTGTCAGAACAATAAGGCAAATAAACAAATCCATAGTAGCAGGAATATTAGCTCAACTTCTCTTTAGCAGCTGATAGAATAAAGTGGACAAGAAAATCAGGACAAATTCAGAACAGAAAAGCATGGTTAAGAAACTTGAACCCCTGCTCACGTGCAGGAGCCTTGCATGTAACTGAAAACCGACATAATCTTTAAGCACACATGGCTTGATGACTAAACTTAACTGTATTGAAAGTGAATAGTAAGTTTCAGTGCATCAGAGCTCTGTGATTTTCAAGAACTTGAAATAGTACTGGGATGAAATTAAAGTGCAAATGAACAACAACAGTTAGAAACTTCATAATTAAAAAGATTTGTTTCTGTTAAATAATTATGAACATCCTACATAAATAACTATAGGAAGCCTAGAGAAAGTGTTTCTTAGAAACTTTATGACCTAAATAATATATTTTAAGAAAAAAGAAAGAGTAAACATTAACAGGCCAAGAATCCACCTGCAGATGTTACATCCCAACACAGAGGAGTGATAATTGTTAGCTTGATTTGATCATTACACACTGCGTGTGTACACTGGCTTTATTGCACTGTACCTGGAACATATACAAACATTAGATATCAATTCACACATATCATTTTTAAGAAGAACAAGAGCTGGCCATGGTAGTGTACATGCACACCTCTAATCCCAGCACTTGGGAGGTGGATGCAGGGTCAGGATATTAAGGTCAGCCTCAAGTACATAATGAGTTCAAGGCCAACCTGGGTTGTAAGAGACCACATTTCAAAAAACCCAAACAGAAAAGTCAAAGTAATAGAGAAAATACATTAAAATGAGAACAGTTATTAACGTAGGAAATAGGGCCTAGAGGGATGGCTCAGTGGTTAAAAACACTTGCTGCTCTTGCAGAAGGCAGGAGTTCCCAGCACCTGCATCAGGCAGCTCACAACCACTTGTAACACAACATTGGGGGTCAAACACTCTCTTCTAGCCTCCACAGGCACATACACTTATGTGGCATACATACACAGGTACATAAGTAAAAGTATGAAAGAGTGATAAAACAAGGAGAACTATGATAGCCAGGGTTGTTAGGAAAGGCAAAAGTGTTTTGCAAAGTGCTGAGACTACAAAAGAGACCCAGCCCCAAGGCAGAAACCAATAAACAGGGTCAGGATTGAAACATGGACATTGTAACAGATGAGTGACATTAAGTAGCTCACATGGAACATCATGACCAAGTTTACATTGACAGATATAAAGAGGTGGATGGACGGAGAAATCCTAGCAAAATGTAACACAAAGAAACTTCCTGGAAAGCATCAGAGACGCTGAACAAATCTGTTGCCACAGAGAGAATTTGATTCAATGATTCAAAATTGTCACACAAAGCAACCTTTATGCCCAAATAACCTCTGAGGCAAGCTGATGGGAAAGGTTAGTGTAATCTTAAGTTTCTCCACGAAATAGAAGTAACTCTGCTCATTTATTAAAGATCATCGAATCTAGTATTAAACCTACAAGCATAGTGTAACAGAGGTCATGTGTAGGTCAGGTCGGTTCCTCTCATGATTATAAATTGAAAAATCTTCAGAAAACCAATAGCAAGCCAAATTTAGCAATATAAAGAATCATTTTGGGCGGTTGGGGCTATGACTTGGTGAACAAGAGCACTGGCTGCTCTGCAGAGGACCTGGGTTCGTTTCCCAGCACCCACATGATGGTTAACAACATCTGTAACTCCAGTTCCAGGGGATCTGACGCCCTCTTCTGAGCTCCACAGGCATTGCATGACATGGGTGCACTTACATACATGCAGGCAAGACACTCATACACATAAAATGAAAATAATAAATAAAATATTTTCAGAAAGAAGGTTTCATGTCCTAACTGCATTATTTCAGAAATTCAAGGTTTGTTAACATACAAAGAGTGTGATACACAGGAAAGGAAAATGTCACGTGACCATTTCAGTAAACGAAGCGTAGCCATTTAATAAGATTTAATATCTATTTCTGGTATTTTAATATTTTTAGTGAACTGAAGGAAAGGAAGGAATGTCCCTATTGTGCCAAGGTATAGAAAATCTCTAGTAGATGGAAATTGTTAAGAGGTAAATATTGAAAGCTTTTCTTCTGTGCTCAAAAACAAGGTGTTTGCTGTCACCTTGCTACTTACTGCTTTTCTAGAGATATTAGCCAATGAAGTAAGCTAGGAAAAACTTACTAGGGTCATCATTGTTGACAAATGATAATAAGTGTTACACACCACGAATACATACAATACACAGAAATTACATATAATACCAATTATTATGCAGTTTCCAGTAATAAGGTTAATAGTATGCTTTTAATTTTACTTTTTTAAAAAAATTATGGTGTGTACACAAAGGCCAAATGGGGGCATTGGATCCCTTGGAGCAAGAGTTCCACATGTTTTCAGGATGTTTGTTAAGTGGGT